CACTATATATAGTTGTGTGGCTACTAAAATTTAATTCATCATGCCAGTGGGTCACAGAACTACAAATTAGCACTGAGTGCCTGCCTCTGATTCAGTGGAGCTACCCTAGAGGTTATGACACAATATTGAAAATCTCTTGCTATGCCTTTGATAGAGTTTTGAAAGCACTGACTAGGAGACCAATCACAACCATAACGCCATATGTAGCAAGATGAAGGAAAATGGGCTCCATCTGTAGACAGTCAAATCCCAAGGCTAACAGGGTTTCAGTATTTAAAGATCTGGTGGGCACCGAAAGGAACGAAACACTTCCTAGTCATGCACTCACCACCACAGTCTCTCCAGTGGCACTGTCTGTGGTTAACACAGCTGGGGTGGCGCTGATCACAGCGGTGGTCAAGGGTGTGTGGATGGTGTTAGGAAGCTGGGCGTACTCTGGATGCTTCTTTCGAATGTGTTGGACCATCTTGGTCTGAAAAGTTAAGGCAAGACCAGGCATACTTACTAAAATTATTTTCAATCTTCCAAAGATTAGAAAGTTTTTTTTAATTTTGTGTCTTAAAAAAATAAAATAAGGACTGGGGATGTTGCTCAGTGGTTAAGTGTCTGCCTGGCACGTGCAAGGCCCTGAGTTAGATCCCCAGAACTACTAAATAAATATATAGATAGATCTGCTGAACAGGGTGTTGCACACCTGTATTCTCAGTTACTTGGGAGGCTGAGGTAGGAGGACTGTGGGAGCCCAGGTGTTCAGAGCTAAAATGGGCAACACAGCAAGACCCAATCTCTTAAATTAATTAACTAAAATTAAATTAAAAATCAGAATAATCCAGACCCTATCCCTACTTTTCCAAAAGCAACAAAATGGTATGTATATCAGAGGAGTAAAGTCTCCCTTGATCCATAGTACCTCCCACCATCTCCCCAGTAATACGTGTAATAAACAGTCACATTCCCCCACAGCAAAAATTATCCCTTTTCAAGAATTACTCTTTCAGTTCCTACCCTTAGCAGGCTAAGGGCAAAGGACAAGAGTCAAGTGCTTGGACTATTAGATGGCTCTCATTCTGAGGAGTCTACCATATTCTCTTCACAGTCTTTGCTGTGGTCTCTACTTGCAGGGGGTGGGATGCATTCTCGTTTAGTCCCCCATCAACTCAGAAGAAGCTGTCCAGCCATTCGGATAAGAAGCCATCTTCCATCCAAACACCCCCTGCATAGATGTTCTGCTGTAGGCTGTGGTTAGGAGCAGGTGCCTTACCTTGCTGCTGTACTGCTTGGAGCAGTGTGGGCAGCAGACAGGTGGGGTGGCAATGGTGCCTGTCAGCTGGGTATGGGTGCTGAGCATGGGGTCTGGCTCCCCAGGGCCTGCAGGACGGAGTTTCCGAATGCTTGGTGGGAGTTCAGCTCCTGGATGGTTCTTCAAAATATGGGCTTTACGCTTGCTGGCACTTTTATAAACCTGTAAGTTCAAATACTGTGCCTTGAAACAGTATATGTACAGTTCCACTTTCTTGCTAGGCAAACTAACAAATTCATTCTAAGGAAATGAGAAAAAGTATTGCTGTAGCCAAAAATAAAAGATATTAACCAATTTATTGAAGGATAATATGGATATAATATAAATTAGAATAAAGTCAGAACATAATACAGATATGCAAAGTATCTCCCTTCACTTTTCTGTTATATCTAGGAGCATAACTGTGTCCTTCCCCTGAGGAAACATATATAGAAAGAGAATTGTGTCTAAGGCCAAGACCAGTTCATCCTTTCATCTATGTGTAAAGCTCTTATATGACACATCATTCACTACTAGGAACCAAAAATCTTCCAAGTGGTAAGTTGAATAGCAACTGGTGGCTTTAAGAGAATTCTATGTTAAAAATATGTTTTTTACTTTTAAACTGACATTGATATACTACATAAGATGGCACTCCTACATGGAAACAACACAGTTATTTTCTCCTTTTTGTAAATGCAGAAAACTAAAGGATAGAATAATATAAGTAGAGTACTCCACCACCATAAAACATTTTAACATCCTACTCAATCTTCTAGAAACTCCAAATCTACCCATACTTTGCAAGTAAAATGATAAATGCTCATTGTAGAGCTTAGGAACTTAAAATGAATTCATATACTAGGCTCTTGGTAATAAGTTTCTCTCTTTTAAAACAAAAAACAAAACAAAACAAAACAAACAAAAAACCAGAAGTTGCACAGAGAAGGAATAATAAGAAAAAGCCGAAAAATTAAGAAGAAAAAAAATTATTTAAATGAGCTGCATTTTTAGCCCCTTCTTGCCTGAATGGAAAACCACTGAGAGGCAGGGAACCATCTGGTCAGAGTAACTGCAGGATCTTGGCCTCATTTACCCACTCGAACACACGGGCTCAACATGGGGCTCTCACAGTTGCATGCCAACATGGGTGTGTTGCTTTTACCTTATCGCAATACTGGCAAAAGTAATCTCGGTTGGGCTTTATGATGGGGAGAGTTAACTCTGGCACCTCTTCTATCTTCATGTCTGGATGCCTCTTTGACAAGTGATTTACCTAAGGGCGGGGAGAGAACAAATGAGAAGAGACCTCATCACAAACAAATGCCTCTGACAGCTAATGTTAGAGGTTGAAACTCTGAAGCAATGCCCCCCAAACAATAAGACATATGCCTGGAGCCAGGAGTTAACAGGATTTCAGCAAATAACTGAAGGTGAGTTGGGTCTCAAGGTAGATCCCATCAACGAATTTGCCTGGAAGAACTATTACTGGAAAAAAAGGAAAATTACGCTAGCAGAATTGCCTGAGTGAATTCTCCTGACATAAACAGTCCTTCATTATTTAGTGCCCCTACCCTGACTGAGAACACTGAATGAGATACAAAGTAAGATTCTGAGTTTTAAATATTGTCCTATGGACTTCCTAGCTCTTGGAAGAAATATACTTTGCAATTTTAACAAGGTCAAAATACATTGAGAGCAGTGAACTGGGTGTCCTGATGTTTCCATTAGCCTGGAACCACACACTCAGCTCTGAGGGAAAGTTTCCATCTATAGCTGTTTCCTAATTGAGAGAAAGAATCATAATGAGAGAGAAGACAAAGACCCCACCAGAAAGTATATTCAGGAATACAAAAGAGAGGAGGGAAGTAAAATAGGACAAGAGCTCAAAGACCGAGAAGAGTAAAGAAAAACAAAATAGTAACGAAAAGTGGCAGAGGGCTGGGGTTGTAGTACAGTGATAGAGAACATGCTTAAGATATGCAAGGGCCTGGATTCAGTCTCTCAAACTACAACAAACAAACAAACAAAACAGTGGAAGGAAATTATTTCTTTCAAGAGATCAAGAGGTGAAAAGTGGTACAAGAGAACAGAGGTAGACTGGAAAGAACACAATTCCAAAGCCATCACCATCGCCCACAAGAAGCTGCCATCTGGCACTGACCAGCATGCCCCGTCGCCGGAAGCCCATCATACACAGGCGGCACTTGAACGTAAAGCTGTCATAGTCTGTGGACGTGATTCGAGGTTTGAAGGTCTTGGAGCGGCTGATGCGGTCGGCTTTCTTGGCCTCTCTCTCAGGGTTATGCATCCTTTGCATGTGTTCTCGTAATTTGTCTTTCCGCTATTTGGAGAGAATTTTTGAAAAGGGGATAGGAATGGGAGTAGAACAATTCAACTGAAGGGATATTTTTTGAAATCAATACAAATTAGCAGTCACCACAAGCCACTGAGAGGCCTCTGAGTCACTGCAGTGCTGAGACAAATAAGGACATGTCCAGAGGGGCTGGAAAGCACTAATTAGCGTCACATAGGGGCCTTCCAATGAGCCTGGGTTTAAATGTGAATGGTACTGAGTTTTGTTTTGTTTTGTTTTTTAGAAAAAAGGCTTTGCATTTAAGTGGACATTATTCAAAGGTACACAGATTAAATTTGGCATAAGACAAATTGTTAATGAGTGACAGGTAATACTGGATTTACAAAGCCATGTGTATTTAATTTCCACACATTACAACAAAAATAATGACATTCTTCAAAATTAAAAATGTACTCAAGTAAGAATCTCAAGTCTCCATCACAGATATAGATGTTTAAGCAATTGTGTTGTCCTCTATAGCTGAAGCATGCAGCCCAGGACACAGGTCCTACTTTATTTTTATTAATTAATTTATTTTTTTTTGGCGAAAGAGTCTCACTATATAGTTCAGACTGCCCTGGAACTAACTATGTAGCACAGGCTGGTCTCAAACTCACAGCAATCCTCCTGCCTCAGCCTCCGGAGTGCTGGAATTACAGGCATGTGTGGCAGCATTATTATTTTTTTTAATGGGTTTTTTCCTATATTGCCTAGGCTGGTCCAGAAGTCCTAGGCGGAAGTGCTCCTCCTGCCTTGGCCACCTGAACAGTTGGGACTGCAAGCATGTGCCACTATGCCCAGCTCAATTCCTTGTTTGATAATACAATAATCCACGCTGATGTGAATCCATGGAGGGAACACTCGGCAGAATCCATCCTGAATAAAAACAAATTCAAAAGGTGTTTAACTCAGTGGTACTGTGCTTGCCTGGCATGTGTGAAGTCCTGGGTTCGGTTCTCAAGCCCACCACTAAAAATAAAATAAATTTTAAATGTCATCTCCCTTATCCAGTGGTGCTCACTGCTCTTAGAAATATCATTAACTTTGTACAGATTTTTAATCTTTCTACAAGACTAGTTCTTCCGCCTTTCGGTACAGAGGCTTCAAGTACTTCATTTTTTAGTACACTTATTTAACAAATATTCCTAGAGTACCTACCAAATGCTAAGAACCATGGCAGGTGCAGAGTCATGAGAGGCACCTCACACTGGAACTCTGCCCAGCCTGGTTCCTATTTGATAATACAATAATCCATGCTGATGTGAATCCATGGAGGGAATACTCAGCACAGCAAGCTGTCTTGAGTTACCTCTCTGGCCCCATCTGACCACTGACCCCTTCCCATGCCCCATCCACTCTGCCTCTCATTACTCCTCCAGAATAAGGCATCCCTTTAGTCTCTGCCACTCCCTCTGCTTGGGATGTCTTTATCCTTCCACTGTTCCTCATCTTCTCCCTCTCTCCAGCTGGCAAACTCTTCCCTGGCCTTCAATAAATTCAAGCGTGCAGCCTTGGGATGGGGATAGTTCAGCAGTAGAGTACTTGCCTAGCACACACAAGGCCCTGGGATCAACCCCCAGCAATAAAAGAAAAGTGTCATCTTCACTATGAAGTTACTCCTATATACAAAATCAAAGTTAACTGCCCTCTTAGCAAACCATCCTTTCCTCTATTATATAAATAATATATTTGATGTCTCATTTTCCAATTAAAGTGTGAGTTCCCTTAAGCTAGAAGGTTTTGCCTTGTCTTTTATATATACCATAGAGCTTAGCAGAACAGACATTTGCAATTCTAAATGTTACCATATAATGGAGTCACCAGCAAAAGGTCCCATGGAAATTCACAGGAAAAGCACTTAAGCCTAAGACCAAGACATGCCCCAGGTAAAATGACATTAGACAGGTGAAATGACACAAGAGTGTAGAAGTTCATTTCAAATGAGCGATGGGGAGGAATGAGATCAAATGAAGGGCCTAAGGAGAGACAGTACACCGCAGTGAAGTGATCCAAGTGATTCTGTATAGACAGAGTGGCAAAGTGGTAGTGAGAACTGTAGAGGTAATCAGGAGCGAAGTTACCTCCTGCAGTGGTGGCCAACCAATGGCACATGTGCGGCAGTGGGCTGTTTGTAACATTGAAAGTTCTAAAATGTTTGCCACCACTGTCCTATAGTGTCTTCTATGTGATAAGAACTTGGGCCTATATGTGAGGAGAGCTACAAAAATGTTTTTTAGAAGGGCCATGATATAAGATTGTTCTCTAGAAAAATCATTCTGGCTATACCTGAGAAATATGCACTGATGGTACATCTACTCAGCTAGGTCAAACTATATTTAAACAGAAGCCCCTTCCCAGGGAGGCTCCAAAAGGAACAAAGAAGGCACCACGCTGAGCAGCTCCAGTGTCCCTGTCGCTGTGTCATCAGGTATGGAGGATCCAGTGGCTTAGTCACTAGCCTCCTCCCCAACTGCTAGCCCTGCTGGCCAACTCCAGGCCCCCTACTAAGTGCAGCTCCATGGACGTACATGGACTTGAGGGTACCTGGGCGCAAAGGTCCCTAATAAGCTTATGTTTGTCGACCTGAACCGGTGTCCCAGAGAGTGCTCTGTGACTTCTTTGATCCCCCAAGTTTTCCTTTCGGACTCTCACTTCTCCATGCCCTTCTATCCTTATGTTTTTAGTTTGATAAGAAAATCCCTCATTCTATAATATTCACAGAAGTTTTGCTTCTCTGACTGAGCTGTGTCTAATGTGTTAGGTGAAAATAAGGGGAAAATGGAAACAAAGTTTGTTGTCATTTTGGCTTTTTTTTTTTTTTGGTGCCGGGGATCGAACTCAGGTCCTTGTGCTTGCGAGGCAGGTGCCGGAACCACTGAGCCAAATCCCCAGCCCTCATTTTGGCTTTTTTTTTTTTGGGGCCGGGGATCGAACTCAGGTCCTTGTGCTTGCGAGGCAGGTGCCGGAACCACTGAGCCTAATCCCCAGCCCTCATTTTGGCTTTTTTTTTTTTGGGGCCGGGGATCGAACTCAGGTCCTTGTGCTTGCGAGGCAGGTGCCGGAACCACTGAGCCAAATCCCCAGCCCTCATTTTGGCTTTTTTAAAAAAAAATTCCTAGGTGATAAAATTGTATATGGCATAAAATAATAAAAAAAATTTTGAATGGATAGGCTGGCTGGCAGTTCAAACAGAGAACATCATGAGAGGAATCTTTTTATATATAAATCTGTATATGGGGCTTCAGATTATAGGTCAAATATTGGCTACAGCCCATGTTTGGCATGTACAAATCCCTGGGTTTAATCCCACCCCAAATAAAGAACAGACCCATTAACATTTACCCACCCCAGAGTTCTCTATACAGTTCTAAATCATGCTGCTATGTGTTAAAAGCCATTGCAATCCTATTCTACAATACACATGCCACAAACTAAAGCTTTGAAAGTTACTTTCTATTTTTCTTCAGTGTCTATGTTCTACACAAGTTTTCCTCTTAGAAGAATCTACTTCTGATTCTTTTTAAGTTTCTATGACAGTGTGACCTACAATCTTACTCAGCAGTGTCCCTCAATGATATTTTAATAGAATCACATAATTTCCCAATTGTGTAAATATGATTATTCTCACTTTTTTTTTTTTTTTTGAGACAGGGTCTCACTACGTAGTTCAGGCTGGCCTTGATCTCACTGTGTAGCCTAGGCTGTCTTCAAACTCACAGCAATCCTCCTGCCTCAGCCTCCCAATTAATCCCTTTAATTGGGATTAAAGGCGTGTGCCACCACACCTGGCCTCTCACATCTATTTATGCAATTATTATCTGCAAGTCTCTTGCAGCCTTTTCTTTGGCTTCTTTTAAATTCCAGGCAGGTTACTGACACATGCTATTTTTTATTTTAATCCTGACATTACTAACAATCTGCGAAGTGGTCTAAGCCCTCTCAGTGCTCCTCACACTTCTCACCTCTGTTAGGTGACAGGCTTGCTGCCAGTGGGACTCAATTAAGGCCCTTAGACTGAAGAAGTGCTCATGAAACTTGTTCAACTTGAAAGGTAAGGAAATGTATTGGTCTCTCAGGAATTCCTCAGTTAAATTAGTTTCACCAGTCATCATATATGTGGATTCTTTCAGGACATGCATTATTGGTCTATTTGGGGATCTGAATTATTTTGAGAAATTAAGTTTTTTCCCTTAATTTTATAACTAAGCCAAATATAAGAGCCAAAGTGTATACCAATTCCAGCTCTTCCTAAGCGGTGATAAGATGACAAAATGAACAGGCATGTTCACAGCAGGACAGAATTCTGATGGCTTGGAGAACTATGCCTCAGGCTGTGTGCTGGCTTCATACCTTAAACTGCTTCCCGCAGGTAGAACACAGGAAATCTTTTCTATCAGAATGCCGGAGCATGTGGAGCCGCAGTTTGTCAGGGCGACAGAAGGCCTTGTCACACTCTGTGCACTGGTAGATCTTCTCTGAGTGGAAGCTGCGCACGTGCTTTTTTACCTGACAGTAAAGACCAAGGGAAAACTCAGGCACTTGGGGCACCATAGGAAATTATCAAAGAAAGGCGGCTGTCAACACTAGGGGGAGCCATTACCCTGGATTTTCAAAAACCTGGGCAAACCATCCAATCAAGTGTGATAATTGGCCTCAATAACAAACTACTATCCCTGTCACAAAGAAGCAACACAAGAAGCCAGAAAGCTTTACAAATCTTAACCTCCCAGGTGACATGAGAGTGAAAGAATATCTTCTTGGTCAAAGCCCAGATCATTTGGTAACCATTTATCTTTTTCTTAACAAAGGTATCATTTTAGGGGCCAGGGATGTAGCTCAGCAGTGCTCTGCCTGCCTGGCAAGCACAAGGTTCTGAGTTCGATCCGATTTCGGTACCCGAAAAAAACAAACAAATAAATAAAGGTATCTTTTAATCTAAGATTTATCTTTTAAAAAAGGATTCCAATGAATCTTGCTAAATATTATCCATGGGAAGACAAAAATATTTTTTCCTCGTTTTTTTTTTTTTTCTGCCTTCAATATGTATAGAAGTAATCCGGCCCCATGTAATAAATGATGATTTTAGGGGCCAACCCACTTTCCAGTCCCCCTTCTGTCTCTCTTAGACCGAAGCTTTCTCTCAATAAATTTTTCCTCTTAAAACCAATAACAGTAATAACTGATGCTTTTGCATCTTCCAATAAAATCGGATTGGAGGAAGCCTGAGTATATAGTCCAAACAGCAGAAAACTTGCCCAACATGAAGGAGGTCCTGAATTTGATCCCCAGCACCAAAACAAAAACAAAAGAAAAGAAAACAAAAAGCAGGCTCTGAAGACTCAAAGACATGAATCAAACAATATATAAAACATTACCCAATTATCATTATGAGACAATACTGATGTCACTTCTCCTTAACTGGGACTATTACTTTTAGAGAACCTTAATAAAAGAATATAGTTTCATCCTGAGTTCAATTCCTAGCCACTCCCCCACCAAAGAAAAAGAATATTGCTCTGAACTCTTTTAGCCATGAAAATCTGGTGAGAAAGAACTGTGGATGGAAGCTAAACAGTGAGTAATATAAATTATTCCTTTAAGATATGTTGCTTAAAAAAAAAGACACTTTGCTTTATTATTTTTGGATTTTCTTTGACCATTAAATTCTGCCTTAGCAGTCTTTCTTTTTTTGTGGTACCGGGGATCGAACTCAGGTGCTTGCCCTTGCGAGTCAGGCCACCGAACCGCTGAGCTAAATCCCCAGCCCAGCAGTCTTTCTAATTGTCTTTGTGAAGTGAGAAAATTTACAGGATTAGCAACACTGGAAAAATTATTATTAAATCATACTTCCTTTTCCTTTGATAATTGTATTTTTATAAGACATTTAATTATTCACTGATTAGTGTATAAAATTATTAACACTTAAAGTCCAAATGAAATCATGAATATTTTGGAATTTAACTTCACCCGTTTTGCTCCAACTGACAGCATATGATAGGGGAGGCAGTCAGTGCTCAATACAGAGTGTATTATATATCAACATTTCCTTCAAAATGCATGGCCTTAGCAAAGCCAGATAGAAAACCACAGAGAGGCCGGGAATTTAGCTCAGTGGTTCCACTGTTTGCCTTGCAAACACAAGGACCCGAGTTTGATCCCCAGCACAGAAAGAAAAGAAAAGAAAACCACAGAGATAGGGAGATGTTTTCAGCCCAGGAAATGGGAGTATGTGTTTTATAGACTTTAAATTTTACAAGTAATGGATAATGAAAAGGATTTTGACAGACTTAAAAATTATAATCAGATGTGGGTATATATCACCTGTAATATAACTTCAATGTTTAAATATCAATATCTGATCTGGACAATTAAGGGGCACAATACTCCTGACTTTCAAAAGTAATGTAATTGAGAAAAAAAATACTGTTTTTAGATTATAGAGTTGTTTCAAAGAAGAGTTGAAAAATGTAGGTTCTATGCAGTTTTAACTTTCCAAAATTCTAAGTTTCTTTTACCAAAAGAAGGAAACAGGAGTCTCAGTAGCAGACACTCACCTGAATAAAATCTGGGAATCGTTTCTTACAAGTTGGGCAGGTGAAATAGCCATCATTGATATGAATGGCCACATGATCTTTCAACAAATCAAGGCGGTCAAAGGATTCTGGGCAAAAAATGCAAGAGTAAGTCTTCTGGTCCGAATGGAGCTTCATGTGGCTCTCCAAGGAGGCGCTGCTGATGAAGCCCTTGTTACAGAGATCACAGGTCAACGGGCAGTTCCCCTCCCGCCCATGGAAGCGCAAGTGTTGGTCCAGTTTGTCCTTTTCCCGGAAGGCCTTCCCACACTGCAAACATTTAAAAGGCCGGAAGGACTTCCGAATAAACAGATGCTGAAGAGCTGCATTCTGAAAGACATACACAAAACAGTTCTGTAGTGAGGACACTGACAGAGCAAGAGGCTCTCACTTCCATGGGGAAAGAGGGTAGAACCTGCAATCAGACTCCCCAGAGAAGTTACACTCTAGGACACACACAGGGAAAGAAGACTCTTCTGGTGAAAAGGCTAAAAATGAAGTGATCCCGAAGTTTATCTTGAAAAAACAAATTATGTGTATTTCATTTTATATCTATGTATGTGTGTTTTCTTTTGAAAGAATTTAAGATTCAAAAAAGTGTTCTCAATAGAAGACTGGGATTAAAAAAAAACAAATCCCAGAGTGAAGTAATATAAAAATTAGTTCTGGAAGAAAATATGGTAAGTCACACGTGTATGAATGAAGTTGGCACACATCAGCCAAATATTACTCCCTGAAATCTTTTATTAAAGTAAAAAAGAATTTGAAGCTTCATTAAAACATTTAGCAAAACAAGGACAATAAAAAGAAATGAAATATAGTAAGTCTTTTCCAGGAGTAGGGTTGGAGAAGAAAAGGGAGATGGGGTTTCTTTGAGGGGTAATGAAAATGTTCTGGAATTATAATATATTTCTATTATACACATATACATATATACATATTAATGTATTTATAATGATAACAGCAACACAATTTTAGGAGAATTATAAAAACCATTTTTAAAAAGCTGGGGAGGGCTGGGGATTTAGTTCAGTGGTGCTGCCACCTGCCTCAGAAGCACAAGGTCCTGAGTTCCATCCCCAGTACAAAAAAAAAAAAATCATATATATATATGCTGCCCCCCTGAAAAAACCCTGAATTTTTCACTGTTTGAATTACAGATCTCAATTTAAGAACTGAAAAGGAAATGAAGAATTCAGATGCATGTGAACATGTTTGTTCATGGGACATGACACATGAGTACATATTATAAACAAAATATATGCACTGCAACACTCTCTACTTAAGAAATCCAGAGGGCAAGTTCCCAAGGCAGCCAGTTAGATGGTTAGATGGTTAGAACGCTATGCTGACAAAGTTAAGCTTATTGCTGTTTCCTGTCTAGACAACTCAATCTAACTTTTTTTTTTCAGTTACAGATTGCACTTCTAATGATGATTAGCTCTCTTGTAAATTCATGCGAGTGCTACAGGGAATCCAAGTGAGAGAAGGTGGATACTCAATGCTAATCCATCATGACTACTGGAAAAAGAAACTATGCTCCACTGAGAGCAGATTTATAGAATCATCTTTCACACAGCAAATACAGAAATCAATATTGTTATGCTATAATGAAGATGCACTCATAATTTTCTCAAAACAACAAAGGAAGGCTCTAGCTAGCTGAGGGGGGAAAAACCCACCAAAATATGTGCCTTAGAATGGGTATGCCTATGTAACTAGAAAATCATTATAACTGAAGGATTAATGGGGATTTTTTTTTTTTTTTTTGGTTTTTTGAGACAGGGTCTCACTATGTAGTTGAGACTGACCTGGAACTCACTATGTAGGCCAGGCTGGTCTCGAACTCACAGCGATCCTCCTGGCTCAGCCTCCGGAGTGCTGGGATTACAGGTGTGCGCCACCACACCCAGCTCTTATTGGGGATGTTAAGGCATTATATTTACAATGAAGAAAGTCCAGTGAACAACTCTTTAACTCTTAATCACTTAGCAGCAACTCAAATTTAATGTGAAATAATCACTTTGGGTGGAAAAGAAAATAGTTATTTTTTATTTACTGCAAGTTCCATACATAATTCATTTGATATAACAGGAAACTGTTTTCTCAGGCAACAGGGCTAGGAGATATATTTTATGATGCCACTTATTTGCTTATCCTGAGTAGGGAAAGAGCAATTCTGATATCCTCCTAAATTGACCAGGGGTCATCTGGGGAAGTGGATATATTTTATTCTCTTTTGTAGCTAGAGCCCATAAAATTGCTTAAAGTGTCTACTAAAAGTTTGAAAATTAATAAAATCAGCCACAGAGCTTAATTTCACCTCCTCACAATGCTTAGTGGTTACCTAATCTTTTCACTCTAAGTGCACACATACTTATTTGACGAAAGAGCTCTTACTATTCTCTTTTCAAACTATATGGAAAGGCACCTGATAAACAGATGTTATTCTGAGGTTTAGAGATCACTTGGGATTTAGAGCCTGCCTGCCATGTCAGGGTCACTTCCTTTCTCCAACTCAGTCGTGTTGTAAAGCACAGACACAATACACAACAGTTGATGATGGCCCCACTGAGGATTCCATTTCTCCTTGGGTGCCAAATCCAGACTTCAGCTTTGCTTTGGTTCATTACGCAAATCAGTCTCCTGTCATTTCTGATTAGCATTAGTACTCTCAGGCACTTGATTTAAACCGAGCAGCCACCTGGCTTCCCTTCCTTAGTTCCATTGACAAGTTATATCTCTTTAATTTCCATGGAGCCCTGAACATTGGCTAAGTGCTCAAGGACTAGCCTGCATTTCTCTGAGCTAATGATAGTCCTCATAGTACAAGGTAGTAAATGTGTTGGATCTGTTGCCACCCCTTGACCCAGCTGCAGACCAGTTCTGCTCTAAGGTAGCTCCTATGGTGGAGTTGCATGGAGTCCACTCACTTAGGGGAGTCATAGCAAACAGAGTACATGACAGAGTCTTCTGATCTCTGAGCTTGAGGCAGTCAGCCACATACTACATGGTACATCAGTTGCTCTAAGTGTGACAAAGTGGTCGGACTTCTGGATTCAGCGACTCCCACTGCAATGATTCGCTGTTTCTGAAATGTTTCTAAAGCCTGAAGGTACTCACATAAATGACCAATTTTCATACTATTTTGATCCTGAGATTAAAAGGATATAAAAAAACCGTGCTTGTTGGTTTTTGCTTGTTTATTTTTAAAAAGCAACCTTTCTTTGTCCTATTACCTGCCCAGCTTTCAAAGTCTTAGGTAGTTTATCCCTGGCTAACACATCTCATTCTCCACTGCCCTTTACCTGCTACCCACAGTAGGGGTAAACTAGTGTTTGCACTGTTCCATCACACCAAGTAGATTCCTGTGAGCTGAAGGCCTCTGACTCTTTGTCGACATTCTGCTGGAATGGTCCACCCTTGAGACTGTCTTTCTTTCAAGGACCAATCTAAATCTCCTTTCATCCATGAATTACTCCCTGGCTCCTCCATCTTTCTAGTCTTTTTTTTTTTTTCTTCCCCAGTACTGGGGATCGAACTCAGGACCTCATGCTTTCAAGGCAGGCATGATGCTGCTGAGCTAAATTCCCAGCCCCTTCTCCACCTTTCTTTGGTCTTTCACTTTTCCAACTTCCTAGGGCAGTGATGGCAAACCTATGGTATGTGTGCCACAGCAGGCGTGCAGAGGCCTGTCTCTCTGTTGACTTGCAAGCCAAGTTGCACCAAGAGCTGAGCATGGGTAACAGTTGTTTTTTTCTAAACTAAAACCACTGTATTCAGATTTAATTTCAGTGTTGGCACTTTATGATAAGTACGTTTTGGGTTGAAGTACGGGCACTCAGTCTCTAAAAACTTCACCATCACTGTCCTAGAGCAATTTATCACATAACTGTACATAACCTTACATTAGTATTGTATCTGTATTCAAACTGTAAGTTCCTGGGGATGGAGCCCAGTGGAAAGTTCTCTTGGGTACCTAGACAGTGCTTAAGATATAGTTAGAACTCAATACCTTTCCACAGGTCATTCAAATTCTTTTATAGCGGAAAGGGACCTTGGAGATCACTTAGTTCTACCCTTCTTTTTGTATAGAGGAATCTTGGACCCACAATTTACTCATGATTTATTTGCAAATAAACTACCGGAATTAATTTGCATTTACTATAGCAACCAAATTGTGGTTTCCACCAGGACTTAGTAAATACAGGTTGCAAGAATAGCAGGTCAGACAAACACTTTAGTAACATTCTGTTATGTGAAACACAGGAAACAAACCTACCTGCAGCTCCAACTGAGCAGGCAGCATTAGAGGAGAGAAAAATAGTTACATTACCAATTGGATTGGAAGACTTCCTTTCAGTTGGTCATTACCAATCTGGATTAGAAAAAAAAATGAAAAAATACATAGCCCTACATTTTAGAATGACTGAGAGGAAAAAACAAGACAGCTAAGATGGACCTCTGAAAGCCACATACATGTGGTTTTTGCCTCTGACAAAACACAACATGTACAGAAACCAGTACCCCGATTCCTTCAAGTGTACAAGTGCACTTACAGCTGGACTATGCCCATACATCCACAGCTTCACTATGTGCGCAAGCTTTAGTTTTTTTTTCCATTAAAAAAAAGTTTAAATCTAGAAAGCATTTCTCTGGACCTAGTAAAATATCAGAATGGCCAAAGTGGAAAAGATGATAACTACGCAAGAGAAAAAAAGGACAGATTGGGGAATAAAGTAGAATGATAGATGGAAAGATATTAATTCATAGATTTTTGCACGTCTAGCCTATTGTGTACATGTCCTTTCAAAATAATATAGATTGAGACAAAAGTTGCAAGTGTTTTAATTACAGAACCCTCATAAAAGCTGTTTGGACTCAAGAGTTCTAGAGCCCTTCAGAGCTGTCATGTGGCTATGAATGTCTCAATGTATATTCACCCTAAGGCACGGACTACACTATTTTGCAAGGTCCCTTCTGGCCTACAGGCAAATAAGAAGACCAAACTCATTCTAAAGCCAAGATCTCTCACCCAGAGCAAGCAAGACCCCTTTGCAGGGTCCTTAGACCTATCACCCATCCCCCTCCCTGATACTAATTTATCATCTTTACATATTTTAAAAAAGACCACAAGAAACATTAAGCTAAAGTAATCACCCTTCTAGAAACTGTAAATCCTTGGAAGTTATTAAACTCTCCCATCTACAGGTAAGTCTTTTCACGCCCAGCTGCCACAAACTCGGGTTTTATGTCATTGCTATTTGTTAGCATGTGCACTGCACAAAACCCTATCGCTGCGCAGGTACATCCCCTGTAGTCCTTAACTTGGCCTCAGTGCTATCTGTCAAATAATACAAGAACACGCATTGAAATGGAAGCCCTTCAGCTTCATGTTTTAAAGCCAAGACACAGGTCACACATGTGAGATCTTGACTAGCTCCCCAACTTACAGCTTTACTTCAAGGTCTCCCCGGGTGTGTGGACTACACCTGCCAACCAACTGGGGCACAGGTACCTTCATACTGATGGGTACTGACACTTGCCAGTTTCCCCTTGGACACTGTACATAACCAAATTTAGCTACCCACAATTAACTTGAGAGCTATAATTTGGCCCAGATAAGCCTGGCTTAAAATATAAATAATTACAGCTGGAGATGTAGCTTAGTGGCAAAGTGCCTCCTAAGTGTACACTAGGCCTTGGGTCAATCCGTGGCATAAATAAATAAATGCTATTATAATTAAGGATACTGATTTCTCCATTTCCAATCTGGGAGCTCAGGGATGTAGAGAGCTATCCTATTTTTTTTCCCCCAGCACTAGAGATCGAACTCAGGACCTTGCGCCCTGGGCCGAGCTATCCTAGTTTAATGATAATCATCCAGGAGCTGCCAAAATCCAGGCTTCTGATGTTATTACTACATTGATCCAGCCTAAGACCAGCTGTGCTAGCAGGCCACAAGACATAGAAACATCGAGAAATTGTTGTTTCTTGCAAAGGGATTGAGTACGGATAGGACAGATGCAAGATTTCCAAGATGACGGTGAACAGCCTGGAACATAAAGTGCCGCAATAGCTGGTAAAAGGCAGGAAGTTGATCAGCTGGGGATGGGGGCACACTTTCCCACTTACTCGGATGCGTTTGGCCCTGCGCATGTCGTCAGCGGTCAAGGTGCTCTGGGTGGGCACCACGCTTTCTTCATGCTGTGGCTGCAGATGCAGGGTGTGAGTTTCTGCTTCATGCTCCAGGGAAGCCTGGGTCTCCTGTGGGAGTGGAGGGATTGGGATGGTGGTCTGCTCTGGTTGGTCCAGCCCATTCAGAGGAGCCGGCTCAGCCTCATCAAACTGCTCCTTCGTTGGAAAATGCAGCAAGTCCTGAAATTTGTAATAACCAGGAGTTATTTCCCTACCTAAATATCAATGTTGCGATGACTTTTGGCTCAGATTTAGAGTTGTTACTTTCTGAAAGAAAAAGATTCTAAAAGAGATGGGATCTCATGATATTGGCCAGGCTGATCCTGAACTCCTTAACTCAGGCAATTCTCCCACCTCAAATTCCAGAATAGCTGGGACTATACAGCTGTGCCCCAGTAAGCAGCTATTGCTTATTTTTAAGTGGCTAGATCCATATGCTCAGGGGAAAAAAATTCTCCCTCTGGAATAGTTAACTAGGTAAATAGACACAGAATGCAAAACACGTGAGATGTTCCAGATCACAAGGAGAGGACTATGTACCACACTTCTGGAATATTAGTGAATTTAGTGGTTTAAAGTAATTCAACAAAATCCCTAATATCTCTGGTCAATTTCAAATCTTTAGGGCAGCAGAGATGAGTTTTTGTTGTAAGTAACATTCGGAAATGCATTCTTTTGGCCTTTCTCCAATCACACTTAGAGTAACAGACAGCCAAGCTGTGAGGTGACAAGATCCCACACACGTATTCATTTGTACTTAGTCTAATACAGACTCTGGGAAGTTCTTGGAACAAGCATCTAGAAGGAACTCTTTCCCATTCCCCCAGTACCTGTGTCCCGTCATCACTCTTTTCCCCATTTTCACTGGTTATTTCCAAGCGGATAAACTTTGGAGGGCGCCCTGGCCGTCGACCTGGGCCAAATCGCCTCTTGCCTCGGCCCCTTCCTCTGCCTCTAGTTCTGGGGACAAGAGATTGTGTGGGAACAGTCAGAATCACATCACATGCTGTCACAATGCTTTCCTAACTGGCCCTTATTAACTGCAGGTTTTGGATTTCTTTCATTTTATTACTTTCCCTGATTCTTTTCTGTAATGGAAACAACTACTTACTGAGTTTCTCATGTTTGCCCTCTCTACAGCTCAGAGATACGCCTCAAAGTTATTCTGAAATTTTAAAAAGAGCTATAAAAATACAAAGCACAGATAATATTTTTCTTCTGAAAGGAAGTGAGGAATGAAGGCAGGACAGAACATGCTAAGCCTACAGGATGTTTGTGAAGGTGTCACCTCAGACAAGCTTCCCTTCTTTATTTTCCCCTGAGCTCATATTCCTTCCAAGAAATGTGGCTGAATTCAAAGAACTTTCTTCTTTTACTACAACCTTCTAGGTCAGAAAAAATTTCTAACTCAGTTGTTTCATTTAATATGACTACTAAACAAATAAATCTCATCCCCTTTAATGAATTTCTAAAATACAAAATTTTCTTATTAAAAGACTTCAAGGGCCAGAGATTTAGCGCAGTGGTTCCACCACCTGCCTCGAAAGTGCAAGGTCCTGAGTTCGAGCTCCAGTACCAAAAAAAAAGTCTTGAGAGTCAGGATGTAATTCAGCGGTGCCACACCTGCCTGACAAGTGCAAGGTCCTGAGTTCAATCCCCAGTAATGAAAAAAAAGGGACAGATTTTGAAGCTGGGTATGGCAGATTACACTTATAATCCCAGCTTCTGGGAAGGTAAAGGAGGAGAAGTGTATGTTCAAAGCCAGCTGAGGCCACTTAGTGAGACCTGGCCCCAAAGTAAAATTTTTAAAGAGAGAGGGACATCGTGAAGGTGTGAAGTGTATAATATTAGCCATATCATGTTTTACTTTTCCATGCATCTTTTTAACAAATATATTATTTCAGGAGCTATTTTTGTGTGTTTCTGAGATGGGGCTGGCTATGTAACCCCAGCTGGTCTTAAACTCCTAAGCTCAAGGGATCCTCCTGTTTCAGCCTCCTAAGTAGCCAAATTACAAGTAAACACTACTGCACCTGACTTCTGGGAACTTTTAAAATATTCCTTTCTTTAATATTCTTTACAATGGAAAATTCTGGACATAGGCAAAAAAAGAGGACAGTACTAATGAGGATAAGGTACCCATAATCCCTAACAATTAGCCCACAGTTATATATGGTATATATTTCATCTGTCCCCCTACCACTTCCCCATACATATCGATCTGGGACAGCCTTTTATCTGCAAACATCTCAGTATGTATCTCTAAATCATAAAGACTATTTATATGTTACAATACTATGGACACACCTAGAAATACCCCTGATCAATCCTCAGTATTATTATACTATGTAGTCAAAATTCAAATTTGCCTAATTGTTTCAAATTTCTTTTAACAGGTGGCTTAAAAACATGTTAATCTACTATGTGTCATATACGGTGCTAGGCACTAAAGATATAAAACGTAGTAGAGGCAGGAGACATACAAACCCAAAGTCATAGAAAAATATTTTAGGGATGCTCAGGAGTGACTTAAGTCTCATTGTGACACTTAATCTAGTGGTTGCATCATAAACCTGTGTGCTATATAAACCCTGTGACCCCCTGACTCTGCATGCTGCCCACTCTGATACCATTTCCTTCTCTCCATTCATGCCCTTTAGTACCCTGACCCAACATCCCTCAACCTAAGCAGCATCTCCCCTCCAGTGCTTCCTTCTTCCTCAGCATGTACTCCAGGGTCATTCACTAATCACTCCCATGCATTTGCTCTCAACTCCCACCCCGGCTGCTGCTTCTTTATCTCACTGTGTTGAATACACTTGGCAGAACCACAGCCCTGCGTAATCCAATTCCCTGCCTGCTCCTACCATTTCCCTTACCTTGCTCACTTTCATTTCATGATCAAAAAACTTAAGTAGGCACTTATGCAGGCAACTTTCATGATTTCCTACATGTTAGCTTTTTTTTTTTTTTTTTTTTTTTT